TTTGTGGCTGTAATGTGACGAAAAGTTCAAGGGGCCGAATACTTTTGCAAGCCACTGTAGATAACTAATGGCATCCAAGGCAACAGTTGCATAAGAGAGAGAGCAAGCAACCACCTGACAGCATTACCTTAAGTCACCCAAAACAGGTTACACACACGCACACACACACACAGGATTCTATTGGGTTTAAATGGCACTTCTAGTGTGTGTTTTAGCATTTAAAAATGATAATAATAATGGGAATACATAATGTGTAAATTCTTTGAGTTTGCAAAAATGGAAATATAATGTGGCAGTTTTTCTTTGGAGGCTGGTAAATCATGACTTCAACCACTCAGCTAACATATTCATGCCACACTTCTGAACTTTAGCCAGTTTCTTAACAATGGTTTCTAGCATAAAGAGGAATGCTTCCCCTAGGTCGGCTCTGGCAAGTCGTGATAGCAGACCAACAGAAAGCAGCCAACCTTGAAATGATACTAAAGTGCAGTTACTGTTAAAGCAGATCTTTTTAATTACTCAGTGATTTGCAGAATGACTTTGCACAACAAAGAGCCCTGGTTCCATTACATAGCTTCTGTACAGCTTTGGCGCAAAGGCAATTCAGCTCACTGCATTCTTGATTTAATCACTAGTGAACCTTTGTCCACATCTTCACCGCTGAGCATAGGCTTAGTGTTGTTTATTGCTCAAAAGTTTCAAATGAAGAAAAGTTTGGCTAAGATCACAAGAAAATGTAGAAAACATCTGCAAATATGAAACAAAGGAGGATTTATACACTAAATCACAATACAAATGACGACTAAATCATCCTAGTTTTATTTTCCCTCTATTTCATCTCCTCTGCGTGAGGCATTTTTTTTTGTTTCTGTGAACTAAAGAACTGGGCCAGGGCTCTGTCAGAAGTCCTACAGAAGCTTGGTTTCAATCAGCATTAAATAGCCTCATTTATACTGAAGATTTATCATTTTAAATCACTAAGCAGTAAAAAGTCCAAATTTGAAGCCAGCATGTGGAGAAAAACTGCTGTGTTTGTGTGAAGAAAACACAGAAGAATGTTATGCAAGAGCAAGTGACTTAATCCAGCAGAGAAAAGTTGCTTTATGGGGCTGTCCGAATACCACCAGCAACATTATTTTGTTGAATGCATTTGGGAGTCTTTTAAATCTTTAATTCTATTGTTTGTTTTTATTATTGATTGTTGGATAATTTAATCCACAAACCTTGGTTCAGCTGAGGAGAGGAAAAAATAAGGGTCCATGTGCAAGTCTTAGTTAAGATTAGCCAGCTGAATCCATAAAAAGCTAAACTAAAAACAACACACTGAGCAACTACCAGACAAGTGACAGAGAGTGAAGCCTAGTGTACTCCCAGCATGGATGCAGCTTGAGCCGAAAAGTCCACTTTTCTGAGTTTAATTAGAAGTGGGGGTCCGTGTTGGCTAACACTTTTCAAGTTTTCACACCTCTAATTTTAAGTCCATAATTTTTTTAACGCTACTAACTTATTTATTTGTGCTGTGAAGTTGGACATTTTAACATGAGACTCATGGGGACTGAGACTGACTGCTGGATCCTCAGGTGATCCTTAGAGTATCTGTAGTTTTTATTTTTTTAGCAATGACTTCATCTTGCAGTTTATTAAATTGGAGGTGGGGGACGCGGGGGTGTCAGTCTCTCCTTGCTTATCAATAAAAGTCACCAGCCTACATTGATTTGTAATGTATTTTATAGATTTTAGAGTGTCTGCTCTCAGGATGAGGTATGGAAAGAACAGAAAATAAGCTCATTTGCAGTAAATATTAATTGTGTCACTTGGAAGTTTCTTCAGTGTTAAAGTGATTCATTCACCCTGCAACATTCAAAGTTTAAAATTACTGGAATATTGTACTTCATAATACTGTAATAATTACCTCTATTGTGCAAACCACACTCAAATGAACTGTGCTGGGGGATCTCCATTCCAGTGTGATTGCATGCCAAAAGTAACCAGGCAAGAAAACACAGAGTGGAGGCAATCAGTGCCAGTTCAACATCTGGCACGCAGACAGGCTGAGGGGGTTTACTGCCTGCTGGAGGCTGATCCCAAGCCCACTGAGAAGAATCAGAAGAACCAGTTTACTGAATATGACAGTGAAATAAAACAAACTGAGACTGTATTCTTGTGTTCATCTTAGGCATGTTTCAGGATAAACAGCATTTTGTGCTCCTAACCAGAGTCAGAATCAAAAAAGGAAGAGGACCACAAATTCCAAAATCCACAAGCATTTTATTGTCATGTTACGTATCCCATCTTTGAAATAATTAAGACAAACAGAAAGACACAACAGAAACAGGCAGCCAAGCCACTGGCAGTCATACAGCTTAAGGTCCAACTTTGCAGCAGGATGAAAACAGATTGAACGAGTCTCTGTGCTGCAGCTCCACACTCGGCATCTCCTCCCACTCTGTCAGACCTCCCTGCTGTGCTCCAATGCACTCGAACACTCTGTGGGCTGAATCAGAGCTCTGTTACCACAGACATGAAACTCACAGCTGTATTATATTACAGCGGGAACATGCAGACATTTCAGAGGCCAGACTTTGAAAGAAAAAAGGCAAAGAAAACTTAAACCTCTGACCTGGACTTATGTAATATTTAATAGTTCTCATACTGCAAGTTAGTGCCTCATGTTGGTATCTACTGCCATCTACTGTCCTTTCTTAGGATACTAGGATATGTATGTTGTAAATTTTAATCGTAATACTTATTATTAGTAAGGCTTCCTGTGAAAAAACACAGCAGGAATCTTTCCAGTGTTTCTTTTTTCTTACCTACGGATTGCAGCAGCTCGGTGACTTGCTCTCCAGAGAGGGCTGAGGTCTCAGTGAAGTACAAGCCCTTGTTACTGGCTAGACTTTGTCCTTCCTGGAGGAAGAAATCAGAACTGCTCATCACTGAGTTGGACTGTCTTTACATGTGACTCTGTGCAGGTAATAAGATTACAGGAGCGTGCTTGTCTTTGTCTGTATACCTCCAGTGGCACTTGCCGATTGTGAGCCAGATCTCCTTTGTTGCCTACCAGCCATATAACAGTAGATCCTGGTATGTACTGTTTCTCGAGCTCTTTGAGCCACACCTGAGCTCTGACAAATGTTTCCTATGATGACACAAGCATGCTCAAGAACAAGACATAAAGAGAAAACCAGTCGAGATAAATCATTTCATAGTCAGGTGTGTCTTCGTTTTACCCTTTGCGTGATATCATAGACCAAAAGTGCTACGTGGGCTCCCCTGTAGTACAGCGGAGTGACGCTGTGGTATTTTTCCTGGCCTGCCGTGTCCCAGATTTCAAAGCGAAGAGTGGCATTACTCAGACGCACCAACTGGGTGAGGTAAGCACCTGGAGGAATAAACACCAAAGGAGTGGGTGTGTGAAATTAGAAAAATTGTATTTACATTATATATCATGATTATTACTGAAGTCTGAAACTTTGTGAAAGCAGTTTATTCTTAAGCGTGATGATGAGAGGACTGATACCGCCACACTGGACTCAGGTACTGGGTTTTGAGATGTAAATTTTTAACATATGCTGACTGGTCACTTTTTAAGCTACACAAAGCTACTGCTGGCTTGGACCTTCCCTTCAAAGCTCAGAGATTTTGGTCCATGATGACATGATAGTGTCACACAGTTGTTGCACATATATGATGTGAATCTCAGTTTTCACCATATCCTAACGGTGCTGTATTGGGCTGAGATCTGGACGCCATGACATGGTTAGTAGCAATACTCAGGTAGGCTGTGACATTTAAATGATGCTCTGTTGGTACTGAGGGGCCAAAATGTGCCAAGAAAAAAATCCCCCAAACTATTACAGCACCACCACCAGGCAGGATGGAGGATGTTGTCTGCACTAAATTATGTGTGAAATGTAGCTTCAGTTCCACATTTGTCGCTGACACTCAGTGTGGTTTTCTGCTGCTGTAACCCCTCTTCAAGCCTGGATGTGTTGTGCATTCAGAGATGCTCTTCTGCATGTCTTGATTGTAACAAGTGATTATTTGAGCTCGAAGCTCAACGCAGTCTAGCCATTCTCCTCTGACCTCTGACAGCGACAAGACTTTTCTCTGGGACAAGACTCCCAAAGAAGTGCAGTTTACTGTACATATCCTCTTTTTCAGATTATTCGCTGTAAAGCCAAGAGATGGTTTTGTGGGAAAATTTCAGCAGATCAGCAGTTTCTGTCATTCTTAGACCAGCACGTCTGGCACCAGCAACCATGCTACATTGCGGTACCGGTTCGTGAGTCATTTGGTACCGGGCCGCGAGAGTTGAGGCTCAGGTGTGAAATGTGTGGTTTGCAGGGTTTTTATCGGTTTTCAGCGTTATCGTTAACTCGGTTTTCCTGGGTCTTTTCACGTGTGTTATGAATAAATCTTCTTTTTTTCGGTACCGGTACTAGTTTTATTTAGTTGTATTTATCCGCGACACCTTAAAGGCCGTGAAAATATTGGCGGGCATAAACCGGTCCGTGGCGCAAAAAAGGCTGGGGACCGCTGTTTTACATCATCAATTGATTATTAGAGACATTTTTATATATTAATGATGAAAATGTTCAGCTCTGTGCTGGAATATTGAATTTCTGTTGTGTTAATTACAGGCAAAAAGTGCAATTTATCACAAATTCTCCATGATATAAAGATACGCAAATAAATATAAAAAATATAATGACAGATTGCAACTTCAAGAGTGAACCAACATAAAGTACTGTATCTTAAGGTGTTTGGCTTCTACATGAGCTAGCTAACACAAATGTTTCACCACTGGATAAACAGTGGAGAGAAACTTTGTATCAAGGCTTTTTACTTACTTACTTACTTACTTAAAAAAGTAAAAAGTCAAGTTAAAGTAAGTAAAATAAAAATGTATGGCTTTAGTTTATGTCTTTGTCTTTGTCTGGCATGAAACAAGATTTGTTGAAAGTGGTATTTTTAATGACTCTGAGCCAACTGCCTTCACAAAGGGTTTTTACGGTTAGGGTTAGGGTCTAAAATGATTCAATCTTGCCCCTGACAAATATGGCAATGAATTAAAACCAAAAACTAACAGAAAAAATCATTAAAACTAAACTGAAATCAGTAAACCCAGTCTGGAAACTAAACTGACCTGAAAATCGAAATTAAAAAACTATAGCCACATGAAAAGAGTTTTAATAGGACTAATTGCAGTCCTGTGATAAACTAACACAGTTGGATTAAGGTCTGGACTTTGGCTGGATCATTAACTGTCACACAGATGGCCTCACCTGTGACTCTAGAATACTTTGTTACACAAAACACGTCATGATAAACTCAATCACTGCGAGGTGCCCAAATCATCAGCCCCCCACCACTGTGCTGACAGCCGATATGAGGTATTTTGTGCTGATATGCTGTGTTTGGCTTTCTCCAAACATGCTGTTAGGCATTATCATCAAACTTGTCCACATTGGTGTCAGGGGACATTGTTCCACAAGTCCTGTGGTTTGTTCTGATGCAGCTGTGCTGACATGTTCTTTTTAGAGAGAAGAGGTTTTCTCTCTGCAGCCTTTTCAAACAATCCACACATGTTCAGTCTTTTTCTAATCGTGCTGTCATGAACTTTAACCTTTAACATGCTAACTGAGGTCTATAATGTCAAATGTGGAACTTTTGGTGTTTTTACAGCTTTCCTAAGCATTGCAAAGTCTGACCTCAGGGTGAATTTGATGGGACGTCCAGCCCCGTGAAGACTGTAGCAGTGCGTTAACACACACTTGAATACTCCAGAACAGCAAACTGCCAAAACCTCTTCTTTTATAGAAGTGCTCACACCTACTAGCGACACCTGGGTCCAACTGACCATTTTAATTCCAGTGGAAGCAGCAAGGGTGTGCTCAGTTTACACAGGACTGTAAAGAATCCTTTGTATTGATTTGCAGTACAAAGGCACAACACCCCCTCACTGAAAGGGGTCAAAGGTTGAGGTTTTTCTCTAATTGGTCACCCAGCAGCACAATAAACACATGTAGCTGTGTCTTTATGTTATTTAGGCAAGACCAAGCTCAGAGCACCGGCATAACCTACAGGTTAACATTCCACGTGTGTTACTCCAGGTCTGCTGAATTTTCCTGTAAAACCTGCTGCTTTTACACAGATGCTTTTTGTTTGGAATCAAATTAAAAGCTAGACACAAATATATTACTTAGTGACATTTAAAGATGCTTGTAGGTGGATCTTGGTTTGTTAGAGGAAAATAGAACACACTAGCTATTTAGTTCTGTTTCTTATCAAAGCTAATTCTTAAGCCAACATGAGAATTGCATCAGTTTTCTCATCCACAACCTCAGTAAAAAAAATTTTTTTTAAAAGCTGATAGTTGATTCACAATGTTACATTTAACCACTGCCATCCACACCTCAGAGTGTCATGAACTCACAGCCTACAGTGGGCGATGTACTCCTGAACTCATCCTTGCTAAATCGCAAAGCCAGACTCGACTTTCCAACACCAGAGCTCCCCAGCAGGACCATCTTAACCCTGAGAGTATGCACTGGTCTGCGCAAAGTGTCACTGTATTGCTGGGCCCCTCCGTGGACCCTTGGGAGAGTTTCCCCCATGGAAAAGCTTAGTTAACTCCAAAACAGGAGGTAAAAAAAAGTCCAAAAAGGGTCCTCAAGTCCTGATCCAACTCTCCTTTTCTTTAAAAACACAACAGTAATTTCAAACAGTCCAGACAAGCTGAGTCGTCTTGCTTGTTGTGAAAGTGTGTGACTGTTCCAGCTTCAGCTTAAAAAGAAAAGTAAAACTTAAGTCCAGAAATGTGAAGCCAGCAACAATAATCTCACTTCCTTAAGCACACCTACTCCTGACTCGTCTTAAAACCTCCCTGCTATCACATGCTGTCTCATTGATTTGAACCCACATGGACAGACTGGCTTGAAAAAATCAATGGCCACATTTCTTGTTGGGAGGGACTTGTACTGCATGCAAATATAAACTTATATGAATGTCTGATATGTCTGCAAAGTTTTGTTTTGCTTCAAAATGCTCGTAAAATTACAGAAACTCAGTGGATCCTCTTTGTGCACAAACCCTTCAGATCATTGTATCAGCACATTTTGCTGCTGGCCTGTTTTCCGGGTTTTATCTCCTTGTAATTCTCATTTTGAACAGCTGAGGGCAGCATTGTATATATTACAACTTTGCTCTAATAGCAGCCTCTTCACTGCGGTAAGACGATGTGTAGTGGACAGTTTGATATTCTTCTTCTTTATTTAGACTTTTTAAAGAAATATCACAACTATGCTCAATTATCTGTCCTTGCCATTTCCCCCAAAAGTTTCTTATTGTCTCAGGAATGTTTTCAATGCTTTCCATCAAAGTTTAGAGGGGTTAAAGGTCAGGAGACCCTGGAGGAAGCTGACAGCCTTTTATCTGTGCTGATTTTGGTCATGGATTAAATTCTGGATGTGTGATGAATTTGATGTTCTCTCAGTGCTGTGTACTGATATTTTCTGATGGTCACTTCTGGTCTGTCTGACTCGACTTTGAATACAACTGATTCAGTTTCCAGAAAGTGTTTTGGAGCTCTGTGCACTGGACTCCTACAAATCCAGAGTCCAACTCTGATTTGACTCAGAGAAAGTCCCTCTTTGTTCAGAATAACAGCTTGACCCCTGATACTTCCCTTCATCCTCATATCTTGTTTTTGGTCACAGTGTTACTTAGTCAGCAAAGTTCTGTTAGTTTGAAGCCAAGCCACATTTATATCACACGAACAATGGCTGCTGGCTGATTTATTTTTAAAAGCTTCTGATGAGTCAATCTAATGGACGGATGCAACCTAAGGAAACCTGACATGTGTAGAAAGGAAACTTTTAAATCTATTCCTTTTCAACATGAAAACATTTAAGATTTTTGGACATGGTGACACTTCTGGATGGATTTCTGCATCTTAAGAGATACCAGTAAATCATATCTACAAGAAACAGTGTGTACAGAAAGAACTGTCTTAAACAAAGTGTGTGAACACACCTGAATCACACATTCCTCGACTGTATGAATAGACTCAGAGGGCGACTGCATATTTCAGGAGAAAGTGTGTCCACATTACAACAGTTGCAAATAATAGTACAGTGACACCAGGGGATAAAAACAGCATTTCATGAGATCACTATACACTCACACACTCAGCTGGGAGCACATTGTATTTTAGGGGTGGTGGCAGGCCTTGTCTGTCTCTTTAAGAAGCAAGAGGCTTTTTAGAGCTGGCTGGTCATTATTAAAAATAGCAGAGGGGCTGTGAGAGAGTGAGATAGTGCATGCAGGAGCTGTGGTTTCTGGCAGAAGTTGGATGGAGTCCAGTCCATAGATTGGTGCTGCATTCATACGCTGTGTGGAAAATTCTCAACACCATTCTGCTAGTCCTTAAAGAGCTATAACATCATGCACTGCTTCATTGGTGCTAGTATCCAAACTGTAACTAGATCTTAGAAAGGTAAAAAGTATTGTCCTACAGAAGTTTGACCTCTCTAAACACTTTACTGCTTTTGATCTCAGCCACTCATTTTAGATCATGTTGAAAAAGAAAGAAGTCTATTTTGACACGTGTGTGTTTCAGAATGGAGGACTATCTGTGGTACGCTCTTGCCAGTGAGCAAGTGGTTTCACAGTCAGACCCACCCTGCCTCATCACATCCATTTAAAAAAAAACAAACAACATGGTGACTGAACTGCAGAAACCAATGCATGACATTATGGTAGCTACATCCATGAGTCGCTATGACTGTGAAGCTACATGCTCATTGGCTAATGATTCATGACTGAATTGTTAGTCAGTGAGAATATCCTGACCGACCACTCCTGAGAAAGTTCATCACCGTTCCAAGTTTTCTGCATTTGTGTATAATGGCTCTCACTTTGGTTCAGTGGATTCCCAAAGCTCACAAACAGCTTTGTAATCCTTTCCAGACTGAATTTGACAAAGTGAAACAGGCTAAAAGATCTCGAAAAGCAACACATCATGCCACAGTCTAGAGAAGAACCTGAGAAACAGACAGGATTAAAGTGAGTTCTTGATTCAGCAGGTCTACCATTAATCAGGCCTGAGTGTGTTTTGTGAAACTGAACTCGGCTTTCCAAAAAAATGTGGTTAATCACAGTTAACACATGTAATGCATACATATATTATAGCTTCTTGTAGCTTTTGTCTTAGATAGTTCTCCACTATTTTACTCACTTTTGGTATTCTTTAACTAACTTTTTGTATTTCTTTTTTTTATCATTATTATATGTAACATTACAATGCTCTTGTGCCACTTTTATTTCAACTATATATATTTATTGTAGCGTATACTATTTTTATTCTTTATCCTGCTGCTGCAACACAATATCTGTCTATTTGGACTTCATTTGCATGGACCCCATTCTTTTTTAATCTATTATATCCATTATATTAGAAGTTCTCTGCATCTTCAAAAGTGTCCAAACTCAGTGTCATGGTGGCTTCCATCGTCGCTCCTTATATACTGTCTATGTGAACTGCGCAGTGGCCATGTTTCCGACAACATGTGAAAGCAGCTTGCCGGAGCACAACCTTTGAAGTTTTTCAGGGAGACTTTGCTGCAGTGAATCCGACAGGTGGTGGAGACACAACGCTGCTGTACGAGAACGAGACTGCAATCATATTTTCACACTGTGTTTTTTCTACAGTTGGTGCTTATTTCCTCAAAACTAATCTTCTACTTCTTTTATGTTTACAGTGACAGGGTCAGAAACACCCTAACAGCACAGGAGCGACGCTCAGGTGATCATTTGTGACCTGAATGCGCCGCTGCACGTGGAGACAACGCGCAGCTTTGTGAAGCAGACTTGGTCGCGAGCTCGTGCGTCGCTGCAGAAACACAGGAAGAAGTGTGAAGACGGATGTATGACAATGAGGCACGCTGAGAACCGGAGCAGGCAGCCCGGGTTTGTGTCACTGACTCCGCGTCTTTAACTTGAAATCTGTAGAAACACATGAAACGCACGAGCCGCGGGTCTGTGTGGATTACCGAAGTCTGAATTAATCGGCACCAAGTGGATTTAAGCGTTTAGGGGGACGACATGGGGACCCAGGGGACAGGACGGAAAAGGTCCACTAAAAAGGACAAAACGACGGCAGAGGACGATGCCCTGAACCTCATAGCCAGAGAGGTGAGTGAAGGGGAGACAATAAATCTTTACTGAGGGGGGTTGGAAGCAATAATGTAACTTTTAAAGAGCCCCCAAACCGATTTAATCACACTTAATCACACTTAAAGGCGCGTTCGCGTTTTTGTTCCTTATGAAAAAAACATTTGTGTGTTTAATGTCTGACTTAGTGTTTCCACATGTGTAATATTGGTCATTGTTAAAAATACGCAGACATTGTCCCCAGTTTTTTTGAACATCCCTTTCACCTGATACCGCTGCAGCAGGGGCGTTTCCAGTGGGACACGGGGCCCCTCATGAAATCGGTATTTCATCAGCAGTGTAGATATTTGCTGGCTGCAATTTTCACATTTCTGTGCAGAGGGTATTAGGTGACTGTACAGGAGTTTAAACGTGGTTTTTATTGAATAACGTTTTTCCAAAGTCACAAAAGAACTATTTAGAACAGGGTTGGTCAAACTGCCACAGCTAAGGGCAGTCTGGGCCCCTGTAAGGAAAGGAACACGTTTTGTCAACAGCTTGATTTTTAACATGATGCACATAGTGGAGTTTAGCATAACTCAGGACTAATTTCATCACATCACAAATTTTTTTTTACACACAAGTGGAGTGACATATGCTGAAATTGAGTAAAGATAGAAATACCAGTTTATTATGAATCAATAAGACAATGCCTCTTTCCTTATTTATTTATTTTTTGGCTGGAGGCTGGGGGTTTAGCTTCCCTTTCAGGACATAAGGGGTCAGGCTGAGATGACTGACAGCTGGTTCTGGCCCCCTGAGCAATATTCCCACATTGTAATTCAGACACAGTAAGTTCAGGTATTTTTGTGAAAAAAAACATCTGCATAAATAGTTTAATATATTCTAAAGTGAAACTGAATGGCTGACAGCTATGATATATTGTGTTGCAGAGATATCAGCTGAAGTTGAAAAGGGCTAGGAGGTTGCGCAATAACCACATGGTGGTGCAGTGAGTCAGAATAGCATCTGATTCATTATTCCAACATTATTCCAACTGGTGTTTGTGCAACGTTTTTACAGAATTTATGTTCCTGCCATACTTGGCTAATGAGCAGTTTTTTATAAACATGAACACTAGGGCTGCCACGATTACGTCGACTATCAAAATCGTCAACTGATTTAATCGTCAACTGATTTAATAGTCGACGTGTCGTTTGAAGCTTTGTAAGATCCCAAAAGACGCAGGAATAAGTAGTAGGATTTAAGAGTGTAATAACGGACTGAAACAGAAGATGGCAGCACTGCATGTACTAGGATGCCAGCTGCCGTTAAACCCCGAAGAAGAAGAAGCTGTGTCTGGTATCGTAGCTGTGTCCAAATTCAGGAACTGCATCCTCCTGTGGCCGCATTTCTAGGCCGATTACGTTACAGCGACACAACGAAGACTGTCCAAATTCGAAGACTCCGACAAATGTGCGCTTCATTTCCCCAGATTTGAAGGATGGGTCGGGTGTATACTTCATGGCCCAACCTATCCCAGAATTCATAGTGTGGCCCAGCTGCCAATGGCGGCAGCTGGTTAGTTTTAATATTACACTTATTATTCTTTCTGGGTCACAAAATAAACGTTTAAAATATTTTCAGGCGAGAATGTAGCTGTGTACACTTCAAATGTCTGCTCAGTTTATCAAGACGCCACATATTTTCAAAAGCGCTGCGATGTTTTCGGGATGTCTGTTACCCACTAGCTCGATAGCTAGCCGGGGTTCAAGGCTCACTAGAGCGTGTGAGAACACCGGACTCCCGGCAAATCGTTTTCAAACCCACCGCCGGCTTTCGCTACTCAGGTTAAACTGTAAGCTAATGATAGTTATATAAGAGCAGATGCATGCTGGTGCAATAAGCTGTACGTTTTACGTCCAATGGATGCATGATCTGATTAGTCGACTAATCGCAAAAATAATCGGTGACTAGTCGACTATCAAAATAATCGTTTGTGGCAGCCCTAATGAACACAAAAGCATTACGTCATCTTTCTGATAGTACATATATAGTATAAAATAATTTCAGATGGACAAAAAAAGACTGCAGTTCTGGTTAAGGAGGACAGCTCTACCAAATCTTTATGGTAAAATGCTTCCACCACACTGTACAATACATCTGTCAATATTGTCTAGCCTCCCGGTATGTCAGTCAGGCTCAAATTATTATAAATTCTATCAACATAACCATAATTGTAATCCACAGCTGATTATAATGGCTTGCTCTACTTACATGAGAAATTATTTCATGTGCTGACCTGCAGGAATTGTTGAGGTCTCTTTCAGTACTACAGAACTGTTAGCAGGTGCCGAAGTCATGTTATGACAGGTTTACGCTGCTTCAAAGTTCCTAATCCTTTTTGTTATTATGAGACTGCAAGTGAAGGATAAATCTAATGTTTTATAGGAGAAGTAATGCCCAGTGGGTCTTCAGGACTTAAGCCAACCTGTTTGAAGCGAACACCCCTCTGAGGTGTAAACCTTAAGCTAAGTATCGATATAAAAGTTTAGCTTCAAGATGAACTACAAGAAACGGTAAAACCATACATTTATTGTTACTAAGCAACACTGTGGCCCCTTTGAGGATGTAATTCTCTTTATTTATGAAAAAACTGAGGATCAGACATTCGGTTTATTACTTTCCCTGCTGAAAATAACTTTTCATATTCTGTGCGGCTCCCGGTGAGCATAGAAAACCTCAACTCTCTGTTGTCTGAGCATGATTCAGAGCCACTTGTCTTCAGTTAGGAGGAAGTTGGGTTTTTGCTAACACAACCCGGATGTTTCAGTGAATTTGCATATCATTTCTAACAGTCACACTCTCTCGTCTATTCTTCTTCAAAACCGTGAATGGCCATGGTTGGGCAGTTGGAGTGTTTGAATGTTATCTTCTCTTTACTGCTTATTTGACTGTTTACGCTGCTGTGGGGAGGCTGAGGTTGCACATTCCTGTAGCTGGTAGTGGTTTCTTCTTGCTGCAGCAGTGTTACCCGGTTGAGGTTAGAGGAGCTTGACGGAGCTCATGAAGCATCAGCAGCAGATACGGTATCTCCCAGGAGGAGATTGTCCGTGATGGATGAATCGCATGTGTTTGTCGGGGTTGGGAGGAACGGCGGCGGGTTGTTTTCTGTGTCTTTAAGCAGCAGCTGGGTCGAGTCCCTCACTGGCTGTCCTCTGACAGAATGGTATGTCAGTGCTGATGAGTTGGCCCACTCTGCAAAGAAGCTTTAAAAATAGATGCTCCTGGAAGATCAGCTGTTGCTGCACCCCAGTTTTAGAGCGAGTCTGTGGGTGGGGGTGGGGAGTGGGGGGGTGAGGGTGGTTGTTGCTCGCCAGCTGGCCGTCACACAAGCCTGAAAGGAAGAAAGACTCTGCACAAGATAGTGCAGCCAGCTAGCTGCGGCTTATCAGAAATATTATCCTGTACATTTACAGTATTAGAGAGTGAGAGGAAACTGTCAGTACTGCAAACTTGACTACTTATGGAAGAAATGGGAGGAGAGTAGACAGCAGGAAGGAATGTGAGGAATGGATATCAGGGCATTAGTTATACTGTGCTTTAAGGGAATCTGATTCCCGTGTCTGTCAAACAGTTTGAATCATGCTGTAAACATTAATTTGTACTGTAGCGCAAGGATAGAGGATGGCACGCTGAACTGGGCGATCTCTCTTTAAATCGTAATAAGATAGATTAAATTAATTGCCTTAATGAAAGTGATATTGAATCTTAAATATTGTGATTATATTCTTTTGATTACAGTAAAATAATCTATGAACTAAAGAAACCCTGAAAATGATTTCCATGTAGATGCTTTAGTTACAGGTGCTGGCTCACAGTCACAGGAGGATGCTTGAATTAAACGGGGTGATTGCTCATGTTAATCGTAACACTCCACTTGCACTTGCTGTAGTGTGACCAATCAAAGTTTTCTGCTGTGATAAAGAGTCGAGGGTATCAGTCAGTCAAGCAGATAAACTGAAGTCTGTCATCTGGCTGCTCTAACAGCAACCTCTGTCAACTCTGATTTAGATTACTCATGTTACACTGGTTTGAAATGCTTATTTGCTCAGCAGTTATTACCCACAGAGGCCGAAGAGCAATCCCACTGAGTTGAACTTTTCCACGATGAAGCTGAAATTTGTCTCTGCTGTGGGAGTGAAGTTTGGTTAGGATGGTGTCATCAGGCCAAGATTTTAATTTGGGCAATACTTTGGTTTTAAAATAACATTCCCATCGACCTCAGCAGATATTAGCAAGCTGTTGATGTGTCGTGTTTCCCGAAGCTTTAGATTTTATTTGTATCAGTGGGGATGGGAAAAATTCTCAGTTATAAATTTCTCCTCTGCTTTTAGTTTATTAGTATTTCTTGACAAATATGTACCTGACCGATGTAATCAGCTGCTTCTCAACTAATGCTATGTACACAAGTATTTTAATAAATATACACTTAAAGGGCGTTTTGGATCAATGAAAACTGAGCTTTTCAAAAGTGTTCAGACTTTAGAGAACTTTTGATTGGCCAAAAATATGTCCACAGTTACTGTTATATCTGTTATATATACATACTGTTAAATATGCTCTGTAGTTTCTCAGAGTGCTCAAGCTTGTAGTGGATCTCCAAACAACGTCTTTACAGAGGCAGGTGATCAATGTCAAAGACACTGACAATGAGATGCTTCCCCAGCTGAGAATCTGAGGAAGAGCTTCAAAATGAGAGTCACGAGTAAACTGATTAAATTAATGTCACATGGGTGGCTCCAGTGGGAAAGAAAACACTGGGTGTTTTCTCCTCACGCTTAGGTGTAGGCTTGTGGTCTTTTGTTATAAGCTGGTTTAACCTGCTGCAGCTTTTTAATTTGGTCGTTAGAGACTGATGAGTTGATTATAAAGCTCGGAGGACAATTTAGTAAAAAGGATTATTCAAATTCTGTAATACTGCATGTTTGTGGAAGTGATTTCAGCTTGTTTATCTACAACTGTCAGTCCATCATCTGCTT